ATCAACATTATGAATATTTACTAAGCACTTGAAAGAGACTTGACATGCTTTCAGTTCGCGTTACAGGCTTTAGAATGGCTTCTGTTTCTGTTTAGATAAAATTAAATAATTTTATCTAACATTAGGAATTTGGAATTCATATAATTGGAGATAGTGTGAGAAACTGCCCTGGTTTGTCTTAAGTAATGGGCAAGTTAGGGCCCCAGGGAAAACCAGCTGAGTAAGTGGCCTATCAACACTGCTTGAGGTCTGGTGAGAAAACTGAAGATAACACTAATTGGAACTATTTTTCAAATTTGAGGGTAGAGGTTTGATCAAATAGCAGAGAATGTATCATGTAATCTGACATGATAGGCAAAAGGTAGCAACTATAGTAGTTTCTGGAGTCCAAGAGAAGCATAATGAAAATTTCATGTTAAATAGTATAAGATGAAAACACAAGGCATTGATTGCAGCTGTGAAACTTGTGGACAATCATAACTAATATGACTAATATGTAAATTATGTTAGTTACCTTTCTGTTGCTGAGATAGCATATCTGAAAAACAGTTCAAATGAGGAAAGGTTTATTTTGGCTCCTGTTTTCAGAGGTTTTAGCACATGACTGGGTTAACTCCAAGGCAGGAACGATGTGGTGGAGAGACACTGCTCATCTCATGATGGCCAGGAAGCAGAGCAGAGGGAGACCCACAGAGAGAAGAGGATGAGAATGTACCCTTCCAAGTCAGGAGTAGTGGCACACACTTGTAAACCCAGCCCTGGGAAGCTGAAGTGGGAGGACTGCCATGCATTTGAGGCCCACCTGGACAACTTAGGGAGACCCTGTCTCAACCCCACCACATACACCAAAGTATATATGTATATATTCTTCCAGATGTGTCCCCAGCTCCTTCCTTGAACCAGTGACCTTACTTGAACCAGTCCCCAGTTTCTAACAGCACATTCGGCTATGAACTCATCAGTGGTGTAATACTTTGATAAAGGTTGTGCCATTATCTAATCACCTTCACAAAATCCCACCTCTGAATATACGAGCCTTTTGAGGATCCAAACTGTATTCCCCCAAAGGCTCGTGCCTATCTCATATATGTAAAATGCATTCAGTGTATGTTTTAAGAGTTGCTAAAGTCTCAACAGTTCCAACATTTCACAGACGTCCAACTCAGAAGTCTTTTTTAGAACACAAGGCTGGAAACCCCTAAAAAAATAAATCAAAGTACATATGTCTAAGATACGGTGGCATGAGGTAAAACTTTCTGTTCCAAACAGAAGAAATAGGGAAATGGGAATAAGAATAGGACCAAAAGAAGAATGAAACCAGCAGGGAACACCTACAGGCCCACAGCTCTGTGACCAGGATCCAGGACATGTAGTGGCACTTTTCAAATGGCTTAGATAGCCCCACCCCTGTGGTCTTCCTAGTTGTATCCTACCTGGCCTGTCTCTTGGGGTGACTCTACTTGCTGCTTAAGGTTTTTCTTGGCAAATGTTCCACATGGAGGCATCTCCCAACTTTCTGGAGATTTAATTGCAGATTCAGTTTCACTCTTACAGCTTCTTGCATCACCCTCTAGGGCTCCTCACAGGGACTATAATCCTGTCACACATTGGCTAACCTCCCAGGCCTTCCTCTGAAATCTAGATGTAAACCTCAGTAATCCTGTAATTCTTGAATTCTGCATTTCTGCAAAACAGCATCACATGGATGACACCAAGGTCTGCCATTAGCACAAGCAGTAGCCCTGTGCCTTGGACCAGGACTGCAACAGACTTTATTCTTGATACCAGTTTACTGTGTTAGTCAACTATTCCTTGCTGAACACAATACCTGACACCCACAGTTTAAGAAAGAATCTTGGGGCTGGAGGTTTAGCTGAGCGGCATAAGCGCCTGCCTTGCAAGCAGGGAGTCGTGAGTTCAATCCCCGATACCGATAAAAAGGAAAAAGACAAAAAAAGAAAGAAAGAAAGAAGCTTAACGGGCTCATGTGTTCAAGCTGTCCCAGGTTTAAAAAAAAAAAATGCTTAGTTCACTGTGGACAGGAAACAGATCAGGGGAATAGTGCTAGCATGGAAGGAATGAGGGACCAGACATAGTTCACACAGTCACACCTTCAAGATTGACCCAGACATCCGGGCATGTGCTTTGTTAATCTACTAGGTGTTTCTTAATTCAATGAAATTGACATATCAGGATAAATAGTTAAGTCACTCATTGTCAACTTCACACCCAAATATATCTCCTTAAGCCATAACTGATCTCTAAATATAGACACAAGTTGATTATTCCATGGCAAACTCTTAGCTGCGAACCTTTGTAAAAGTTAAAAACAAATTATATAATCTCAGGATACAATGGTACAAGGTAAACATTCTCAGTTCAAAAAGGAAGAATAGGGGCATAGGAAAGAATTGGTTTTACAGCTTCATATCTGACCTCTGCAATACACAGTAAAGCGTGAGTTCCAAAGGGGCTGAGCACACCCATTCTTAGGGTCTTGCTGGTTGTGGTCCATGTAGCCTTTCTCTTGAGCTGACTCCACTCATAGGCTGCAGCTTTCTTTGGTGTGTATTTCTGGCTTCTCTGACTTCCTGAGGACTCCATTGCACCTTTCACTTCATTCCCACAGCTTTATGTACTGCCCTTTCAAGGGCTTTTCTCTTTGAAATATAGGTGAAAATCTCTATGACCCCACAATTCTTGCATTAAAACTAATATCACCTGAACAGTGGCAAGGTATGCCATCAGCAGAAGCAGTGGAGCCAAAGCTCTCTTAGGTCCTAGGTGCAGCAGCCACTTTGAATACCTGGAGAGCTGAGTGCGGTTAAATGAATCCTAGAGAACCAATTCCCTAGTAGGCCCACCTTTAGCAGAAGTCCCAGGGACACGTCTCAAGTGAAACGTTGACAATTTTGCACCCTTGAGGAAAACTCATCACTTCTGAGCAACCAGGAAGCAGAGAACACATTCAGTAATGAACTCATAAATCCATTGATGAGGTTAGTGCTCCTCTGATCTAATCACCTTCCAAAAGCTCCACCTCTAAACACAGGAGCCTGTTGGGGGACATTTTTGATCCAAACTATAACATTGAAATGAGACAGTGTTCTAAATAGCTACTGACAGTTCTCAATAACTGAATGCAAGGAATAGAACTGAAGTGAAAGAAACCAAAACTAAATTTCTAAACTAAGTTACACTGATGTCTGAAGGAAGCAAATAGGTAATTGGCAATTAGTGAATATGTTCATAGCTAGTTTAGTAGAATACATGTAAGTCTTATAATCAGACCAGTGTATTTAAATTTGTAGTCAATTATTAAGCGTATTATCATTGGAAACACATTTTTTTTTTTTTGGTTTTAGTTTTTTCGTTTGTAAAAAAAAAAAAAAAACACAGGCTGACTGCAAAATGCACAAATAAAGGACCTGGTACATAGGTAATTACAGCACAAGTTACATGCTATTACAGTGTTCATGTTAAATTTACTAAATTAGATGTATAAATTTTGCTTGTCAGAAGTAGAGAATTATAGAATTAGAGCCAAAGATAGCTCCCACATCATTTTTTTGTTTGTTTTGGAGTGTTTTTTGGATTTGGTTTGGTTTGGTTTGGTTTTTGAGACAGCTATGCAGTTCAGGCTGACCTTGAACACACTTTGTAGCCCAAATTGGCCTCTTAACTCTCAGGTATCCTCCTGCCTCAGCTTTCCAAACACTGGAATTACAGGTGTGTACCACCATACCCGGCCTTCTACATGATTCTTAAGGCGGATTGATTTTTTGAAAAATTTAGATATATCTTGGAATAGCAGGTTACCAGAAGGACTAGATACAACATTTTTGTTTTTTTTGTTTTTTTTTTTTTATTTTGCTTGCTTGATTTGTAGTACTGGAGATTAAACCTTGGACCTTTACATTGATCTATATCCCCAACACTTTTTGTTTTTATATTTTGACACAGGGCCTCGGTGAGTTGCTAAGTTGCCTAAAATGGAAGAGTAAATGGAAGAATATCAAAGCTTTTCATGTGCTGGTTACTCACCCCATGAATACTCTTCCAAATCTTAATTATGGAAGAAGCAACTTAACCTTTTGTTACCATACTTCCCTGTCAAAATATATCTTGAACTGGAGCAGAGCTTATTGTAAAAACAATTATTTGTCTAAGGAAAAAAGAAAATCAAGTGGCTATAAAGATAAACCATGATTTGGATTTGTTTGAAATAAAATCTTTGCTAAATTATGGTTCATTTCGTACATCATTTTAGATTCATTCATTCCTTTCACAAGTATTTATTAACTACCATTTTTGTGATACATACCATGCTAGGCAAATGAAATCCATTTTAACAAAACATGCAAAGCCCTCCCCACCCTGTCTGCAATTTATGTAAATTTTTTCTTTCAGAAACCTAAAAGACTCAAAAAGGAATGTACCTCTTAACAGCACAGAGTGAAAACATCACATGAATTTTTTGTATAGCATAATTTGTAACTATGAGCTATGTAGTTGGACAGTGAGCTTGTACTAATTGTATACAAAGAATCACAGAATTATACTACTTTTTCTGACTACTTCCCTAACGTTGGAGTCTTTACTACCCATGTTGCAATATAGTCAGTATGAATTGTGAAAAAATGCAAAAAGAGTATGAAGATATAAATTTCTACATGTAATAAAACTTTTTTTTCCAGAAATCCTAATGATGAAAAATACAGATCTATTAGGATTGGAAACACAGCTTTTTCTACTAGACTCTTGCCTGTCAGAGGAGCTGTTGAATGTTTATTTGAAATGGGCTTTGAAGAGGTAAGTATGTGTTGAGGATTTTCTCTTCACACACAAAACCACTATTATAGTGTTAATGAAGTATTTGAATAAGGTAATGTGTTTTTATTGGACTATTTTGGAAATCTATAGAAGTAGTAATTTCTTCACCTAGCAGGTGCTTAAATGTAACAGTAAATGCATTTTATTTTACTTATTTATTTTTCTCTGGGGGGTGCACAATTCCTGGAAGTACTGCAATACCAGGTCGATACATGGAGTGGATGGGACAAACTCTTATTCCATCTCCCAGTTCCAAAAATCCATTTAATATATTGTCCTCGAATAGAGAACATATCAGGTATTAAACTGATAAGAGAAATACTACACTTGATCTTAGCCAAAAGGCTGAGAAGGAGTAGGAAATGTATTTTAAAGTCAAAACATAACAGTTTTTCACAGAGAATTCCAAGTTTCATTTCAATTGCATTGACTTGGCAAGGCTAAGCTAGACTAGACTAGACTACACTAGAATGGGTAGGGTCAGTTATGCATTTAAGGACCAATTGTGGCCCACCTCAGACTTTTAGAAAAACATGATTTATGAGTACCCATGAATAATGATAGCACCTAATCACCTGTTTCCAGAAGGAAATGAGGAATCTGAAGTTAACACTCAAAAGGTTAAGTTGCCAACCAGAAAGGTTTTCCTTTGTGATAGGAGAAGAATCTTAATATGTTTCATTGTTTTATTTCACAAGAAGAGTTTGGTTATCTTCTAGAAGCTTATGACATTTTTATTTTTTAATAACAGTGAAAGATTGACTGAGACTGTAACCATTTTTTTTAATCTTTTTTTTTTTTGTCTTTTTCTTTTTTATCGGTACCCGGGATTGAACTCACGACTGCCTGCTTGCAAGGCAGGCGCTTATGCCGCTGAACTAAATCCCCAGCCCCAGACTGTAACCATTTTTTAGTTGTGTAATGTTGCAGATTGACTGAATTCATATTTGTCTTTCATTCCACAAATAAACTTGAGTACCAGATAGGATAACTCAGTCACCCTTAGTTTGCCCAGTGTTGTCCCTTTTTTTTTTCTTTTTGCCACTAAAAGTCTTACATCCCAGAAAACTGTCAGTCCCAGGCAACCTGAGAGGTAAGTCACTCTGGTACCAGATAACAGGCCACTCTGGGACTTGGAGTCACAAGTGGAGTCATAATTTCAGAAAATATTAGCATATTTTAATAAAACTAAATTGTACTTAAGGTTTCTGGCTGTCCTTGTACTTCACAACTTAGGACATATCTAAAGTAAATGTTTTATCATTACTAAACTGAAGAAAGAACCAACGGCACTGAAACTGAATTCTGCTACCCAAAGGAATTTAATAGTTGTTGTAGTTTGTGTCTAGATGTCCCTCGAACCTTCATGTGATCAGAGGGTGTTTTTGGAGGTGCAGAATCTAGTGTGTGATTGAATCGTAGTGCAATGCTGGGATTAAGAATGGATGATTGCTGGATCAGTCCACTGCTTGGATTGGCACCACCCTAATCCCAGTAGACTGGATGTATAATATAAGGGACCGAAAGACACTTTTCTGAGTCTCTTGACACGAACTGTTTCCCCTCTGCTGTGTGTCATCCCGCCTTGGAGCCAGCTGATGACAGATTGAAATCTCTCGAACTGTGAGCTAAATAAACCTTTCCCCCTTTAACTTTGGGTGTGGGGTACTTTGTCTTAGCAACCAGAAAAGTAGCTAAGACAGTAGGCTTTAAGAGTTGAATCTAAGATCTAAGAGTGAATCTAAGATCTATCTTGAAATTTGCAACTATATATTAAAGTCTTGTATATTCATACGCCCACTTGTCTCTCAGGCTGTATTCTTTTTTTGTGATAATTATGAGAGCAAGGAAGACTGAGGTACAGATGAATTTGTGACACTATGGTTTAAATTAGTGCAGTGGTTCTCAACTGGGAACCATACCTGCCTTTCACCTGCATTCTCTTTCACTACTGAGGGTAGTGAAAAGTTTGGCTCACTTTGGTGTCTGAAAAACACTCAGCATTTAGGGACCAAGTTTGATAAACATGCTGCAGTGAGAATTATCTCAGCAAACACGCTTTGAGAAGCAGGTTTGTTAAATTGTATAATCCTAGCACTCAGTAGGTTAACACAGAAAGATCAGGAGTTTGAGACAAGCCGGGAGCACGTGGCAAAACCTTGTTTCAAAAAAAAAACAAAACTAGAATTCTTGTTTTCTTAATGTAATTTTGGATCTAAGCCTATAATTTTACCTTTTTATGAAAATATAAGTCTGTTGATGGAGATTTTAAATGCAAACCCTTTGGCCATAACTCTGTGTGTGTATGTGTGTTTGTGTGTGTGTGTGTGTTCTGTCTTTTTAAGACAGGGTCTCCCTATGCAGTTCAGGCTGTCTTGAGCTCACTTTGTAGCACAAGCTGGTGTCAAACAACAATCCTCCTGGCTCAGCTTCCTCAATATTAGAGTTATAGGCATGCACCATCATACCTAGCTAATAACTATATTCTTTTAGGATCAACTAGAGATGGGAAGGAAAGAAGAGGCACAAGTGTACCCCTGTCTTATGGGGGCCCTTTCTAAATGTGCACTGAGATCTAGATCCAGACACCTGTCATGCTATTTTTTTTAGACTTAAACTCAAGCCCACCAAATTTCTTTTTGATAGTAGAGTTTAATTTCTCCTGTTAATTCCTCCCACAAGCTATGTGCAGTCAGATAACTCTGTATTTGGAAACCAAATATCTGGTTTCTTTTCACCAGCCTTGTCAGACACGTGAAGTGGTTCTTTTCTCTGTCTTCCTTTTATTCAATTTAATTTTTTGGTTGACACATATTTGTATATTTTCAGGAAATACCATGTGATATCTTTTGTTGCATGAGACAGTGTCTCACTGTATATTGCAGGCCAGCTTTGAACTATCTATGTAGCTCAGGCTGGCCTCAGACTCCTGCCTCAGCTTCCCTAGTGCTGAGATTACAGGCATATACCACCATGTGAGGTACCATGTAATATTTTGATACATATAATCAAATCAGGGTAATTAACATTCATCACCTTAAACATCATTTCTTTAGAGTGAGTACTTTCAAAATTCTCCCTTCTCTTTTAAGATATTATAATACGTTATTGTTAAATCTGTTCCCCCTAGTATGCTGTAGAAAACCAGAATTTATTCCTCCTAATTGTAACATTTACCCATTGGCCATCTTCTTTCTGAACTATTGTGTCCTAGTCTCATAACCACTCCTAGACAATTGCTTCCTAATGTTGGAATCATTGTATTCCACTTTGTGCTAGGCTCAGTCATCGTTACAAACACTCGTTTGTAAAGGTGTTCCATTTACTCATCCCCTCCAGTTGTGAAAGCTTTTGGTTTTTCATCTCACTTCATTCTAAAATGGTGTCACTTACAGCAAAACAAAGTCATGCAGTTTGAATTGAATTCTTGCTCTGCTAATTATTCTGTATTATCATGTAGATTATTTAGCTTTTCTGAGCCTTCATATTTTCCTATAGAATGTGAATATAAACTTTACACCTACATTTCCAAGTGGCTGTGAGAACGAGTTGAGATAATGTATATAAAAAACTTAGCACAATACCTGGAATATATTAACGCAATAAACAGTGGTGTTCTTTTTTGCAGCTATTATGGATAATGAGGCTTGCTAGCCTCTTCTAGCTTTAAAAAAATTCTTATGAAACTGATTTTCATGTTATTAAGTACTATCTTGGAAACCAAAGAGACACACTAATTTTTTATTTTCTTGTTAGCTTACAAAGTCTAGTTTATTTAATATGATTCAAAGGACCTTTAAAAGCTATATTTATCTCCTTTTCAGTTGACATAGTTACTGTTTCATCACTCTTGCTTCTTAATACCTTGAATATGTTTTCTTGTTTTGTAATTTGCTGTTTTACATTGAGTTTTATTGTAATGTTTCATCTTAAAGTTTTCTGACCTTATTTATGGGTATTAATTAAATGAACCTTAAAGGTGTGAGGTGTTTTGTTACTGTTAATGATTCCTACTTTGGGGACAGGGATGTAACTCCGTAGTAAGCACTTGCTTAGCATGTGCGAAACTCTTTAAGTTCTGTTGGCAGCGTTGCAAACAACAAAACATTGTATTTGTATCTTAGGAGAAATTAGTGGACTTCTAGTCACGTAGCTACACATTTTTATATGGCTTTATTTTTAAAAATATATTTTTATTTTTGGTGTGCTCTGGCCAGAAGGCCTCTTATCTGGCCTGGCCTATGTGACATGTCCACTTGTGCAGTAGGTCTATTGTCCATCTGTCATGCTACCAGTAAAGGCTTAGTGAACATTGACTCTCCTCTGGCATGATTGCAGAGTGTGACCTGACCATGCGCATTGCACATTGTGTGGATGAACACCTGGTCTTCTCATTCCTGAAGATTTTCTCTGTGAAGAGATAATAAGAAAGAAAATATTTCAAGGGACATTAGATACTGTTATCAACATGGTTGAGTTTGCTGTTATTCTGATAACATTACTTACCTTGAGAGAGAAAAGTACCATGGTTGTTGCACAGATGAAACAAATTCAAGCACAAACAGAACCAACTGTGAAAATGTTCAAAGATCAGAAACTGTGAGACAGTTACAACCAGTCAGGGATTGGTGGGTGGTATTTGACTATCTGGCAAATGAAGGTTTAGGTAGAACATTCTGTTACACTCTACAGGTGGGGAGGATTCCAGTATGAATGAGGAAATTACTCAGGAGCAGCAAAAGGTCTTTAACTTTTCAGCATGTTGGTCCCAGAAATTATTAGAAACACTTTAAATTCCCTCTGGAAAAAACAGGCCTCTGAGATCTTAATGCAGAATTGTGGTGCCACCATGGAAGACCTTACCCACTTAAAAGAAACCACCTGTAACAGTTCTTTCTCCACTCTAGTCTCTTCAGCAGCAAACCTGGCTCATTTGCTGGTCTGGGTTTTCTTCAGTCACTTCAAAGGTCGACATATTACTGACCTTTTCCTTTACCAGATGCTGTAGCTTTATGCAATTCAGATGGTGTGTCCATCTACTGTCTGCTGGCTACTGCAGTTTTAACAAAGATTTTCGAAAATTCTGACAGGTGCTGAAAGGTCTAGTAAAGGTTATTCACAAGAGTCTTACAAGTACAAGAGTCCAGTCATAGAGTGTGTTGAATGCTTATATGTTGACTTTGATGGGGCTCAGAAGAAGCTGAGGGAATGTGAATCATTGATTGACAGTGACTTCTTTTTGGTAGCCTGTCTTAAGGATTTCATTGAAAATGCCCATATCTTTATATTTGAGACTTTCTGTTGTATCTACCAGTGTATCAGCATTAATAGGCTGGTTGATAAATTGAGTATGACTC